GTACCCCTAAATTTTGAAAAACGCAGCTGCCGCTGTGGTGGCGTGCTTATTTCAGTGTATTTTGGAAGTACGCAAATGACAAGGCTGTTTTGTGTTTTGTGTGGGAGGCGCTGCTCGAAAAGGTTTACGCGCGTGTGTTTGTACTACCACCCACCACAACGACGACTGACCATATCGCAACTCCGATGCACCTTGTTGTTCCAGGTTTGGGGGTTTCCCGATAGGAGTCTGACTCACTACGACGACCCCAGATGCTCGGGCAACGATGGCCTACTAAGTATGACAGAAATCACCCCTCAAATGCATTCTGCACGTCCTTTTCTGGAGAGTCTTGCGTCCTACTTGGGGTCTGCAGACATGCGTTACTTTCTGCGAACCTTCCAGACGTAAGGCCAAAGAATCATGGCTATCATTGGTTCAATAGATCGATGGTTCCAGCTAGTCTGCCGATAGGGCTCAGGGTGTCGGCGTGAGGTTAGGTATTGATCGCAGGTCGCTGGCACTCGTTGACGGTGACCGTCGACACTGTCAGGGACGAGATGACCGTGTGCCACGGCCAGACATGTACACTCGCTCTATCCGAACAACCTTCTGACATGAACCACGGCGGTAAAGGGCAGAGCTGCCGCATTCTAACACTCCCTGTTCCGTATAAACACCCAGTTAGCCGATTCCTGCGGTCGCTAGGACCGGGTTTCCTATTAACTTAGCTACGACATCCCCACGACACATCCGAAGTGCTTCTGCTACCCTGAAAAGGCATCCGTGTCTGTTCAGAAACGAAGGATTTCACATATCCGCCCGCTTCACGGCCTCAGACTGTTCCTGATTTGATGGTTTTTGGGGTGGCCTGCCCCGTGTAGGCGCTGAAAGCCCGAACATGAAGCCCCAAGACTTTTAAAAATCCGAACGCAGGCTGAATGAATCAGGCACCACTGCAACCCCATCTGATCTGCCAAGCCCCTGATCTCAAAGCCCAGGTATTTGGACGGTCAACAGGTAGAGAAGCCGATCGACATCTTCGAGACTTCAATGGGTAGGGGAGGCGGCTCACAAGGAATCATGTAAGGAGAACCCAATACACCTTAAATTAAGGAATGTACCTTAAATTACAGGGGCCTTAATATTATGATTTAATGTAGATTCCTTAATTAAGGGGTTTTGGGCTCTCTGGGTATAAGGACTAGCATAAGGGGTGATTATATAAGGACGACTATAAGGACTACACAAGGGCTGAGTCGGGGTTCATGCCCCAGGCCAAGAAGCCCCCCAACAAATAGGGTTTAGGGTTCGGAATTAGGGTTTAAGGGTTTAGGGTTTGGAATCCTGAATCCTAAACCGCGACCCCCGAAATCAAAACACTTTAAGCTGTATTTGCAATGGTGAAGCTTGGGGATCTCTTGGAAACGGTCTGCTCAAAAAGATTTGGAACAAAGGCAAAAAGCCCTGCAGCCCTTTTGGCACCACGAAGCGCGACCCTCACACGAAGTTTGAACTTTGCTGTTACTTCTGCCCGTTGACATCGGCCCCGTATGTTCCTTGCTTAAGGGGCAAGCAGCTACATCCCTGCACACCGAAACTGAAGACTCTAAACCCTGCGAAGTCTTATGGAAGGTGGCGGAGGTGACTTTGGCAGGCGTGACCGGCGGACATCTTGTCAGCAGAGCTTTCGGGGTTCTTTGTTTCGGGTTGCCGGTCTCAGGTTATATAAGTTTTTAAGGCTTTAGGGTTTAGGGGTGTAGGGGTTTAGGGGCCAGGGGTTTGGGGTTTAGGGGGCTTATGACCAGATGTCTGCTGTGGGTTCTGGATTTGGAAGATTCGGAGTTTCTCAGCCTGCAGCCGCGAACTTTGAACTCCCGACCTGTGCCAGTGTTTGCGGGTTCCTACGGACTTGGGCTCAAGTTTTGCTCACACCGAACCGTTCTTCGATCTCACCATGGAGGCCTCCCGCAAGGCGACCTTCGTGGCGGCCGAGAAGGTGATTTGCCTGGTTTCGGCCATGATGCAGGCGCAAGTGCTCAACGACGACATCGGTGCATGCGACGACCTGAGTGTGGACACATCCTCCTTGGACTTGCCCCCCTTCCGCAATGCGCCGCCGAAGCCCACATGTGATTACTCCTCGGTGACGGCGCTGCCCTGCGACAGCGATTTCCTCTCTCAGTACTACACCTCTCAGGATTGGCATGCAGAAGCTTCTGCAGACACCTGCACTCCCTGCGCAAGTGGCAGGTTCTCAGCTTGCAGTGACCTCTGGAGTGGGCTGACCTCGCAGCTTGGAGCGTGCTTCAAGCTGCGACGCTCCAAGCTGCGAGGTCAGCCCACTCCAGAAGTCACTGCACGCACTCCCTCCTCCTTGGAAGCGAACCGGGCTGAGGGGGGGGTGCTCTTCGGCCTCACATCAACAAGTTTGTTTAAGAAAGGCAGTTTTAGGCTGGGCTGCTGAGTGCCAACTGGCATCAACTTCTGAAGGAAGGCTCGCTCCGCCTTGCAGAGCCTTGCTCTATAGAACAAAGTCCACTGCCAAAGAACTTAGTTGAATTAGGGTTCAGGTGTTAGCGTTTAGGGCCTTTTAAATAGGGGTTCACCGAGTTCCCGTTGAGGGCTACCTGCAGCCCTTTATCTAGAGCAAGGGGCAGGGCTTTTTGCTTTGAGGGTTCTGCCTGGCGCTGCAAGAGCTTAGGATTTTCCTCCCTCGGATGTTTGATCGGGACAGAAAACGAGCGCGGTTGAACCTCAGACCCGAAGGCCTTATAAACCCTATAAGCCCTATATAAGCCGAAAGGCCCTAGGCACCTGTTTCAAACCCGATAAGCCGAAAAGGCCCTAATTAGTCTAGGGTGAAACGAAGCGAGGAAAGGCGCCACTGGCGCCGGAGCAGGCGATGCGTACGAATCGCCCCTTGGATTTCACGCAACAAACTGCTGAGAAAGGTTTGGTTTTAAGATGGGGGGGGGTTAAGGTTTAGGGTTTAGGGGTTTAGGGTTTAGAGTTCTTGGTTTCAGGATTGCCGGGACTTAGAACATGGGAGTTGTAAGCTTCCTTCATTGGGGTTCCAGAAGAATGTCCCTAGAGCCTGCAAGCCCTAATCCCCTAAATCCCGAAACCCTAAACCCTAAACCCTAAGCCCTAAAACCCTAAAGCCCTAAACCCTAGAAGCCCTAAACCCTAAGCCGTAAGTCCAGCAGGATGAAGTCGTTGGGATTCTCACCTGCAGGGCCCCTGTACCTACACAAAAAGGACCCTTACAGTTTAGGGTTTAGAGATTAGGGTTTAGGGTTCAGGGTTTTGGGTTTTAGGCTTAGGGATCAGGGTTTAGGGTTCAGGGTTCAGGGTTCAGGTAGCACCTTCGGTACATGGACACTTGGGGTTACAGTATGGTTAGTTCTCCGACACCACTCATTGAACTTGCTGGGTGCTCTTAAAGCAGTAGTACTTTTCTGGAGCTGTAGGCTGTCCTTGCCTGCGCGGCTGGACGAGAAGGGCTGGCAAAAGGGGCTGTAGGCGCTTAGTGTTTCACTTACGTAGGAGCAACCTTAGCCCTGAACCTCTAAGATCTATTTCCGCAGCCTATGAGGTATGGCTACTCTGGCTTCGGCTACATGACGCCGTCCCCCTTCGCAGTGCCACAGGAAGGCGGGCACAACTCACGGAAGTCAACAGAAACATGTGGACCCTCAAATTAGTATGAGTGTTTTTGGTTAAAGGGGAGAGCTGCAGCAACCCTTAACGGCGAGCTTCTTGCGTTTACGAGCAGTTTTTCGTGCATGGGCCGACCTACAGGTATGAAGGGCTTCTCTCAACCTATGCACTCTTCAAAAACAGAATCTACCTGTGGCCTTTGCGTAGGTTCTGGTGGTTTCAGGTACGGCGGAGTCTTTTCTAAGCCCTAAACCTTAAACCCTAAACCCCTGAACCCTAAAAAAAAAAAAAGCCTTTCAACCCTTAGCCCTAAAGCCCGAAGCCTTAAACCCTGCGTTCCCAAGACGACTTTGCCTTCCCAAGCAGCAGCATTCGGGCCATGCCCGATTATAGGGTTTAGGGTTATGGGGTTATAGGGTTTGGGGTTATAGGGCTATAGGGTTTAGGGTTTTAGGGTTTCGGGTTTAGGGTTACCATAATTGAAAAAGTATTGAAAAGGTTAGCCTTTTGTGGGCTAGGGTACTAAACCCCCCCACGGGTCTAGGTTTTAAGGCTTAGGATCTATAGTCGAGAGTCCTGGATGCAAAACAGGATCTATAGTCTAGGGTCACGGGTTTGAAGGTTTAGGAGTTATTCCACTCTGTTTTATGGTGACTACACCCTCATGTTCGTCATTTCCTATAACCACGTGAGCCACGGCCTCAACCGTAAACCCCCAAATCTCTGAACCCTGAATCCATTAAACGGCAGGCCCTGAAAAGGAGCCCCCTTTCGCAATCGCAGCAGAGATGACAACAGCAACCCCTAAACCCTAAGCCCTAAAACCCATAAACCCCTAAA